AAGGTCACCCATCGAACTTCCCGATACATGGCTGAGCCGTCATGCACAGCACGCCCCATCCCAGGTGAGTTTTGGCCGTTCATTGCTGAGGGCTTGGGTGCGAACGGCCTGCACCCTACAACGTTCATAGAACGGTTCGGCTTAAAGCTGTAAGTTGACCGCTGCGCTTTCGTGCGCTTGCAATCTTTGCACACCCAGATGAAACCCGGCAGTAGCGCGACTTGGCCTGGTACCAATTGAACACACTTCAGCAAGTATGTACTACGGCCCGAGAAGGAACCTTTCCGCATTCACTGAGCCACAGAACGTTATGGAATAAATCAAACCTAACCGAGACTTAACCGAACGGAACTCCAACTATCCAACCTCTATGATTCAGAGGGAAGCAGCACGCCCTAGTAACTAATGTTTTAGATGTGTGTGTCATCGGAAATTCCAAACAGGCTGTTTGGGAAGGTTGCAGAGCAATTTGAGGCACTACAAAGAAGATGGCTCGTTCGAACTCCACGCACATGCGGCAGCAACCATGTCCGGTGGAAGCAAGTTAGCCCACATCAAAGGAAACAGAAAGAAACACAGTTGCCAAGCAAAAAGCAAAAACACACCCACACACACAATTGTCTGAAAGTCTTGCGAAAATGCTGTATTCCAGGACTCTGGCTGTAGACTGTAGCCCCAACCCCGCGATGAATATAAGTAGTTCTTCTACTTGTCGCAGGTTTCTAGAGTTGCTAGAGAAGACAGGGTCAAACGTGCCTGAAGACAGCGTTGACGCATTGAAGACGTCGTGCCAGATTTTGCCAGGATTTCTCGTGGGGGAGGCGCCGCAGGCGGTCTTCCCAGCCCAGCGAGAAAACTCGGTCGAGGCCCCTACCGAACTGCAAGACGGCCATTCCGCATTGACTACCGATAGAACAACGGAGCTGATCGACACAGTGCACGGGCAAAGCAACCAACCCAGAAGGTGTGATTCGTGTGATGGCTTCGCGGACTTGGGAAACTGCTAGCCGCGGTCGAGTGAGCAGCTGAGGGAGTAATTAGGCATTCTTGTGGTCGGCTGGGGGTGGGCCTGTTACAAAGAGGTACTGATTGTTGATTAATTTTGTATTCGTTGTGGTAGCTCGTGGCGTCGAGAACAAGCAGAGGAGGAGAAAGAGGAGCGAAACGAGAGAAGGGAGTGAAAGTGCTGGCAGACGCAGCAGCACTCGGAGTCCATGCAGTGGAGCTTCGTACTGTTGTGAGTGTTGAGCAGGACGCTACTACTACGAGGACGACGACTACTGCTACTACTACCACTGCGACTGCCTACGCGTACTTCCTTTGCTACTGCTACTGTAGTTACTACTACTGCTACTACTACTACTACTACTACTACTACTATTACTACTGCTACTACTGCTACTACGCATGCTACTCTTACTCCGACTCCTGCTCCTACTACTCCTCTTCTTACTCCTACTCCTACTCCTAC